GAGAGAGAGAGAGAGAGAGAGAGAGAGAGAGAGAGGTTTCAGGCAGTTACTGTTTCAGGCTTTGTGAGCGTCCAGGAGAGAGAGAGAGAGAGAGAGAGAGAGAGAGAGAGGTTTCAGGCAGTTACTGTTTCAGGCTTTGTGAGCGTCCAGGATCTGATTCGACAATTTGTGAGAGAGGAATATTAAACATTTGATGGGGAAGTATTTTTTGGACAATCGCACGATATTCTGAGAGAGAAGAGTCTTCTTCTTCTTCCTCTTCTGATCCATCATTCTTCTCTTACCCTCCATAGTCATCTTCTTCTTCTTGTTTTTCTTCTTTTTCTTCTTGTTATCTCAGAGAGAGAGAGAGAGAGAGAGAGAGAGAGAGAGAGAGAGAGAGAGAGAGGTTTAGAGGTTTCAGGCAGTTACTGCTTCAGGCTTATGAGCGTCCAGGATCTAATCCGACATTCTGTGAGAGACAAATATCAGGCATTTGATTGGGAAGTATTTTTGGACTATCGCAAGTTGTTCTCTTGCCTTCTCTGCCTTTCTTCCTTCTTTGTCACCTCGCCATCACCATCATCCGTGGTCTTCTTCCCATGTGTACGTGCGAGGAGGGATTTTTGCTCAATTTATGTTTCCCTCCTTGCTGATGCGAGGAGTCAGGTCATATCTTTGAGCCTTCTGCTGTGCTACATTGCATCATATTGTTTCTTTCCTGGATGCACATTTCGTATCTGCTGGCTTCATTGTTTTCCTTGAGTCCTGTTCATCACATCGGTGCTCCTGCGGACCTTTGCACCATCAATCTTTAGATGGGCATGCATAAGTTGAAGAAGATTGTTTGTGAAAATAGCTGGAGATATCAGAAGTGAGAATGCTGGCATGGGTACAAAAAATCAGGTGAAAAACGTGATTGCCGAAAGTTCAAGGGTTTCTGCATTCAGTCGATCTACACAGAGTGAATCGGTCCCGAAGGAAACCCCCAACACAGTAGCTCCTGTGGAAATGCGGTTAAACCACACTGAACCACAGCCAGGAGTTTGCACCAGTGCACAAGGGACCGAATGATCTTGCAGCTCCCCAGGAGGCCTGAACCCATGACAATGTGGATATTCAGTTTAAGGGTCAGCGCGATCCCACAAACAAACAAGTTAAATTGCATAAACTCGATGTTCTGTGATGTGGCCTAGGCAGCGCCATCCCCAGATGAGATCTCTAACATATAGTCAGGGTGGGCTGGAAAATATTTGCTTTGGCTGTGCTCGTTGTTTAACATGTCAGGCTTTCTGATTCCATGATAATTTGCTCTGTGTTTGCAGTCATGGAGTTCTTGGGTCATCGTTTGGTTCTTCAAGGCTTGGGACGTCACCATATGGGACATCTCCTGGAAGTTTCGGTGCTGGCTTTGCTGGGACAAGCCCTGTAGTTGGCTCCGTTGGCACTGGCGTAGGATCGGCTCCTAGATCATTCCCACACTTCCAGCATCCAAGCCATGCTTTGTTGGAGGACAATGGGTTCAAACAACAGAAGTGAGTATTCAACACAGAACTCCCCCTTGTCCCGCCCCGTGCGCCTTTCTCCTGTTCCCCCTTCATCATCTGCATTCTGTCCATTGTTACTGGGTGAGAATCCGCAATGGTGCCGTGGGGTTGCTCTTCGTTTAAACCACCAGTTCGACCTGGAGGTGCTCCTGGTTCAAACCACCAGTTCAACCGACCTGTTTTGTCAAACGGAACGCTTTTGTCTCAGATGCCTCAAAAGCCAGTCGTACCTGGGTCACAGAGAGTCTGTGAACGATTTGCATTCAATTTGGTGCAAATTGCCAAATACTGTTTTGTGGGTGAATGTGTCTGTAGTTTTCTGTTTTTTCCCCCGATTCAGCAGAATCTACCCTACATCCCTCTTTTTGTCAGAGTTCTTTGTCGACGGACATAAAAAGTAAATATAAGTTGTTGAAATTGGGGTACTGCAAGGAAACAAGCCCTTGGAATCACCGTTTTGGGCCCTCGCTGCAAGCATCATGCCCACCCTAAGTGAAGGCGGGCCCTGCATCTCAAAGACTAATGAATATTGCAAAATTTGACAGCACTTGCGGACGCCAGACAGTTGCCTCATGCCAGTTGGTTACATGTGCCCTGCTCACGAGCATCAATAACCTTCTATGATGAAACAGTTTTCACCTTTGCAGAGGCAGATGCAGATCCCAGGGCTCGATTCCCAGACCTTACTTACCCATGTATAGTATCAAGTCGACCCCTGAGTGTTTGGGCCCGTGACCTGTGTTTTGGTAGTTGTTTGTTGTCTGTTGTAGGTCTGTGTAGTGGTAGGGGTTCGATCTGTAGGTCTGTCAAATAGGAGTCGCAGCTCTGTAGAGGTCGTAGCTGTAGATGTTCTGAAAGGTCAAGGTCGTAGCTGCTACAGTCCTGAAAGGTCAAGGTCGTAGCTGCTACCGTATTCGAGAGGCCAAGTCCACAGACTTCTGGAAGGTCTGGAAGTTGCCTCACGTTTAGCCAGAGGCAAATGGGCAAGTGGTGAGCCCAACGGCGTTAAGTTGGCAGTTTAACTGCGTTATGTCGGCAGTGCGAATGCACTGAATTGGCAGTGCAAACCCATGCAGTCAGCGGTATCGGTCCCAGTCATTCAGAGTCCAGTCAAGCAAGTACCGTGTGGGACTTTGTGCACCAAGGGCCTGGGAAAGGGGCAGACCAACGAGTTACAGAAGTATAAATCAAGAGGCAGCGTCCAGCCATTCATTCAGTCGCTGTGTAAGCCATGCGAAAGCGCTGCTACAGCGTCTTGTGCGAAGGTGGTCTGCAGGTTGCCCGAAGCCGAAGTGGGCTGAAGAGTGAGATCGTAGCCATAGTCAGTAGGGGCAGCGCGGCCATAGCCGCAATAGGTGTAAGGTAGACAGTGTGTGTGCGTGGGAGTATTGAGGGTGAACCCGAGTGAGTGTGTGCGAACAGTGGAGTTTAGACACAGGGACGAAGGTTGGGATGTGCAGGCGCTGTTGCGCCATAGCGTGTTCGAAGTGTATTTGCATCTGAATTGTGTTCTTGTGTCCATATCTCTGAGCTTTGAGTGGGCGCTTTGCGCCAGTGTGAATCGCTATCTGTTTGCATGTCTGCGAAGTGGAAGTGAAAGCGAGTCTGATTGCATTGGTATCGGAGCTGGTTCCCGTTACCCCAAGCGCCCTCGTTGTTGCCGGCAGGAAGGAGACGCGCGCCAGAGGGCGCCATAGCCGAGGTGCACCAAAGGAGAGAAGTCCGCCATAGCTGTGCTGCGGAGAGAAGGTGACGTGTACCCTCAGAAAAGACGACGACGAAGAGAGAGAGAGAGAGAGAGAGAGAGAGAGAGAGAGAGAGAGAGAAGATTGTTGTGCGGACCAAGGAGAAAGCGGCCATAGCCGCAGAGCTCGGACACAGGGTTACCACAAGAGAGAAATGCGAAGCAAAGGAGGAGAAGAAGACGGCTAGGGAGAAGGAAGGAGGGACGACGGAAGTGAAAGAATCCATAGCCGGGGTGAAGCGAGAAAGAGGAGAGAGGAGGAAGGAAGAAGAAAGAGGATTAGGAGGTTGGCGAGGAAGAAAAGGTGCCGACAGCCAAATAAAGGTTTGACCAAGGTGTTGATTGAAGTGTTGACCAGCGTTGACCAAGACTTCGACCGGAGAGTTGATCAACGGGTTGACCAGCGTTGACTAAGACTTCGACGAGAGAGTGACCAATGTGTTGATTGGCGTTGACTAAGGTGTTGATCGAGGAGTTGACCAAGCGTTGACCAGCGTTGCCCGGGGCTGCTGACCACGAAATTGACCAAGCTGGAGTCGGTATATTCTCGCCAAGCCTTCAGCATATCCCCTCGCCCTATGGATGTGCACTCACCCATGGTACTTGTTGAGTCTGTCTGTCTCTTCTTTCTGCATTGAGTCTCTTTTGTCCAGGTGATAGGAACTCTGTGTATGTGGTCATAGAGCTTTGTTGACCAAACCCACACGGGCTGAGTAGGGATAAAGGGTATGTCTGACGACTCGAGTGACCCGGAGGACAAGAACCCTCCCAAGGACCGGTACAGACCGGCGGGCTGCTCGGTGTGGCAGAGTAGGCCCAAAATCCGAGCTGTGGGCTTCACAACAAGCTGTCTACGTCTTGGGAGGACTTGCTGATCACGTCGTCGTGTTTGCGACGTTAAAGAATTCCTGAGGAGTTACGGGGGATCTCCTTAAATGCCCCCTGATCAACAGCAAGTCCTATAGTGACAGCCTTAGTTTAGTTCTGGGCTAGAGACCCTAGTTGACAGGATCTTGCTAAGATTTTGTGGTCCTTAGATTGAGTCAACCTTAAGTTGAGTCAGTCAGGGGTGTGAGTCTAAGTGGTGAGGAGTGGAACTGACTTCCGGTTGTACGTCTTTCACCATGGTTGACACGCGTAGTGGCAAGAGCACCACCCCTTACACCAAAGCTCGGGAAGAGCAAGCCGCCGCAGTACTCAAAGAGAGAAGAGGGAAGGAGGCTAAGAAAGAGTTGATTAGACGGGGAGCAGGCGGCGAAAAAGAAGTTATCAGAGGAAATGGAGAGATTAAAGAGGGAGGAGGAGGAGCAAATGAAAGCAGTAGATGAGGAAGAGATAGAAGAGGAGGAAGAAAAGGAGGAGCCCCTGCTCAGAAGAGGGTGCAGGGCAGAGAGGAGAATCTAGTGGCAGAAAGAGCGAGCATTCATGGATGGAGAAGGACTCTGAGTGGGTAGCTAATTTATCTTTGGGAGAAGAGGAAGAGGCCATGTTGTATGTTTCCCCAGAGGAGAAGGAAGCCGTAATCAAGGAGTGGGAAGCAAAAAAAGACCCATTGAGACGTCAGACTATAGAGGAGGAGAAGAAGCTACAGTGGAAATTGCGTCTTACTAGGGAGAAGAAGAGGAGGATGGATGGGGCAAACAAAATGGCGAGGGAGTTGGAGGTGATAAAGGCACAGAGGGAGGAGATGCAAGCGCAAGCAGACATACAAGGGAAGTTAGATGTTATGTCAAGAAATATAGAACTCCTAGCCAGAGCCTGGGACGAGCAACATTAGTTTGCTCGAGCCCAAGGCATCACTTTACACTCCATCCGCTTGGGGTTTAGAGACTTCGCACGCGAGGCGTCAGGGCCTCTGACAAATTGCAAACTATTCACTCACGTCAGTGGAGTAGTGCCAGAGTGGCGTAATGGATGAGCTTATAGCCGTCCCATACCACGGGGGCCTTGAGCCCCAGCTGGTCAGCCTCTTCTATCGTGCCATGCCGAAGCCCCTACATGGGCACTTCTTTGAGAAGAGACGAGAAACCACCATGACAAGGTGGTGATGTTCGAGGCGCAGTCCATGCCAGTTTCCGCTTTCTAGCACAAGGACTTGGACAAAGGTAAAAAGTGGAAAGTCCGTACTATCTCAGGACAGGTAAAGGGAAAGGATTATTTGATCCTTACGTTAGATGAGGGTGGTACAGATGAGGTCCCGTATAGCCAGATCGAGTGGAGCCTGGAGGAGGAGGACAGTAGTGGGGGTCAGGAGAGGACCTACGTTGCTGTCGCGGCTGGAGGGAGGCCGCAAGGAAGAGGAGGCCAGGGCCAAGGGGGCCGGGCCTCAGGTGGTCGAGGACAGGGCGCTCAGGGGGTTGGCAGCAGGGGAAACCGCCAAGAGGGAGGTAGGGGTCAAGGTCCCCCGTTATTGGTGACCTCCAAGAAGAGGTGGATGGCACCCAGGCTTGCCGCAAGGCAGGCCCTGGGAAGATTTGGTCTTAGAGCAGTCCGTATGGCAAAGGCGAATTGATCAGGATCAGTGCATCTATTGCGGTCATCCTGGTCATATCGTTAAGTTCTGCCTGAAGTATAGCGAAGCTCGGTATGCTGCACAGGCAGCAAAAGGCAACCGCCGATAAGGGTCGCAACTGCCCTTACCCCTAGGTCTCGTGGAGAAGAGTGCGCGCACCACTCCCAAACCACATGAGCCTTACAGAGGTTGCTGGCCAGTACCTAGACCACTGTCCAGAGACTGCTTGTGTAAGAGTCTCTCTAGGTACTTCCTTCACAGGCGTGGTTGAAGAGTTGAAAGAGAGAATGCCTGTCTGGGCCAAGATGAATAAGGATGCCAAAGGACAGCTAGTGTTAGTAGATGTAGAGATTTTCAGACGTAGGGGCCACCTGGAGCTATATTAGTAGGAAAGTGCCGCAAAAGTTAAAGCTGAACGTGGGAGTCCAAAAATTAGAAGACCCTATAGCTAGTATCCTCGCAGACAATCACACTATGCGAGTCGAGGATTACGTTGAGGGAGTCCAGGCGTACTTTCGTCTAGAGAAAGATGGGAAGGTGGAGAAAGTTCTCCATTCCCTGACTTCCCTGACTTTCCTCGTAGAAGACAACCTTCCTTTCGATATAGTCCTAGGGATGGACTGGGGAGAGGTAGCAGGGGCCACACTCCATTTGAGAGAGCACGAGTGTAGGCTCCCTAGTCTCACAGGTGAAGTAAAGACTGCTCGCCTGTTTCATGTGTCAGGAGTAGAT